TGTATGTGGAATCAAGGAGCTTCTTGCTATCTAAGGTGTCCACAATGTTCTTGACCATGTCATCAACGGAAAGAAGGGTTCTCCATCTGATTGGAAATCAGAACTAAAAATTAAAGATGCTGCCGAAGTTGCTCGACTGTAAATATTACCATCCACATTTACATGCATGTGAAAGTTATCTCAACCATGTACATGTACGTGTAAGTCCTGAGATCTCCAAGTCACAAACGTGTCACTTGTTCGAATGTTTGTAACTGTAGATGATTAAGAGACAATTAAATGAACTGAATCATGTCTGCTGCTCTTCAGCATAAAATTCATCTAAAAACCTCCAGTTGGCATAATTAAGTTCTGTACAAATCACCACTACAGCATATCACTAGTCTTTAATGAACATGAACTCCACAATTACTTAACATAAACTTCAAAGTGTCCCCTTACTGTCTTATTTAAATGAGTTTTTTCCTGTTCGGCATATTCACACAAAACCCAGACCCACATTTTTCAAAAGATCAAGACAAATATCTTACTTTGATCTTTGACCCTGTGAAACTGGGTTTATTCTTCAGGCTTGCACATATTCATGAGTTATCTTTATATATTCATGTGTGTGTAACAAATGTGGATACCTTCAAGAGCAAGATCTGTTATGTTCAAGTCGTCTTAAATGACACACGATCATTTTGTGTGAATTGTGTTGCTGACAATATTTCGGTATGTTACACAGGATGACAGAAAACAAAACTACTTGAGAAAATTCTCATGTGTGTTGTCCAATAAAAGAGGAAGACAGACATTATTGTCTTGATCACAGATAGTTTGCTGAATAGAAACTGAAACACACGGCTGTACCGTTTCCGGAAGACGTCATCAAGGATTGTGACAGAACTCTTGGCCATTGGATTTGGTGCATGTCTGATCAACCAATGTTTGTCCTAGTACGGAGAAAAATCAGGATGAAAATCGACTCATAAACGTCCAAACTGATGTCCTGTGGTGTTAGGCTGCATCCACCATTGCAATTCATTGTTCCAAAATGTATCACTTAAAGAAAACATTCAGCCTCCACTTAGTGTGATGCATAAAAAAATGAAACCATAAACTAGCAATGGGTTATGCAAAAATTATGTAAGTAATCAATTTTTATGCATTGCGCTCAAATATATATATGCAGCCATTTACAGACGAAAGAGTTTGTCTTAACTTCCACTTGGAGAAGTCAGGACTGTTAAGGTTACCAGGAATGAAGGCCATCACTGGTGCATGCACTTCGTCATCTTTCAAATTAAACATCATGGACAGAGGCAATTCCTTAAGCCTAACTTAAGTATATTTTTCAAAACCAATTAAGACTGTTCACAATAATGAACAATATTGTTTGATACTGAGTTTACACATGCACTCTCTCTTCACCATATTTTTGGGAAATATCACAAGTCAGTCAGGATTTCCTACATGTTGCATGGCAACGTTACAAACCTAAAACAACAGCCAATCAGACGGAGGAGGAGGGAATGACACAGTGTGAAAGGTTGATATTTAAGGAATAATAATTGAAAATGTATAATGTGCCATTTTCATAAAAATGACCAATTGTGCAGTACAGGTACAACTGAAGGAAAGTTATGGATATTTAAGTAATTAATGTCACAGCGCTAGTCTATAAACCATACAATCTCACCTTGCCTGCTTTATTGAAGCTGGGGCCCCTGGGGGCTGCATTCTTGGTAAAGTTTTGGACGTACTGAGGGGCTGAGTCAAAAGGGGCATGGCATGCGGGGGTGGATACCATGACAAAGAAGGGCGGAGTTGACTCGCTTTGCTTTTCTAAGAACTCATGTGATCGGTTGTTCTGTTGTGAAAATAAAAAACAGAATATAAAAACAAACAAAAGTTTTTAGAAGGGAAGGCGTGTCAAGGCACATTCCGCAACTTTCTGCCCTGGGCCCCCAAGTGGGAAAAATAGTAAAGTCAGAGAACCGATGACTGTTTGAATCAAATGTCAATGTTTCAAAATTTGAGAAAATTTGTAAAAACTGCACTTCTAGATTGATGGGAGCTTCACATTGACAGTCAAAATACTATGACTGCCAACAAAGATTACATGAACAACCCAAGCTGGTATAAAGGGTGGAGAGCGAAAGACAAGCTTACAATGAGATCTGTCAGATAATCATGATGGTAATCATCTCCATGCTGCTCTGCTTTGCCGTTCACAGATAGGGTATAGTTGTAATACTTTGAATTCTTCACCTGTGGTAGAAAAAAAATGTCATCTGAAGGTTGGCCTGGATTAAGCAAAAAGAAATGTGTCAGGGAAATGTTTCTACTTCAATTGTGTTTCTAGTTCCCTGAACCTTCCAAACCCAGTACTGTACATATCAAAATTAGACTGATAATCGAATGCTCATATGGAATGCCAAAATCCAATCAATTCTTGAGAAGTCTGTCTCTCTTAGAAACAAAACTTAATAGGTCACAGCAGAAATTCACATTGCCTGATGTGCACTGACTACTCGGTCCTGATTTGCCATTTGTGTCTGTTGTAAGACTACTCTCTGTGCGTGTTTAGTTTTGTGTGAAGTGCATCAATAAGATAGGGACCAAGTTCAGAACTCATAACAGTCTTCGACAACAAAAGCATTTCTCACTGTCTGGGCAAGTCGAAGGTCTTCTTTTTCCTCCATTTTATTTTAAGGTCTGAATCAGCCAGATCAACCATGAGCAATGTACCATCATTTAGCTCAGAATGTATTCACAGTGTATGCGACATCATTTGTAAGCTGACTATGATGGCTTCCAATCTCATTACTAACTACCCATATCAACCACTTTGGCTCTAACTACCCATATCAACCACTTTGGCTCTAACTACCCATATCAACCACTTTGGCTCTAACTACCCATATCAACCACTTTGGCTCTAACTACCCATATCAACCGCTTTGGCTGGCTTACTGTAAGGTCTCAATCTGACTCACCAGGCCATTCCATTCATCCCAACCCGGTGGTATGTGTGACACTCCGCCAGCAAGTTTGGTACCATACTACACAGAAAACCAACAAAAAAAGAACAGCATATTTAATCAATGTTCAATCGCACCCAAATACAGAGTACCTCCCAATTCAGACCACTGTGAATGTTTTGACACAGAATACTTTTTAATATTGAAATCCAAGATGCTTTCCTACCCCTTTGAACTCAGAATGCATCCTTTCAGAGAGCGTATGAAATGTACCCCTAAAAATCCTGCCAAGTTAATCCACAACCCTGTTGACTTTACAATTAAGCTTTTTATAAGATGGAAATTTTAAATGACTCAATGGAAGGCCATGATATACAATCTGAAACTTGCCAAGGAAACCTTTGGTCAACACTGACCATGACATCTGTGTTCAACACAAGAACGACTACCGGTGCAGTGGTACGATCTATACCAAAGTGTTGTCATAAATTCATTCTTTAGTCCAGTAGCAAATCCAAGAATGAACACTGAGACGTACGTTCAGGGACTTGTGGTTTCAAAGACAACACAGACAAGTACAATCCTCATCTGCCTACAAGTAACCCACCTGGTTGAGGTACTTGCCAGCGAAGAACGTACTGTACCCCATGCCTTTCAGGTATGTAGCAAAGGTGCTCCTCTCTGGCCCACTTTGCCAATTCTTGTTACTGCAGCCCCCTGATATGGAGTTATTGAGAGTCTTGTGGTTATGGACATAGTTTCCGGTGAAGATGCTTGACCGGCTTGGGCAGCAAAGGGGGCTGCTTACAAACTGAAATGAGAAGAAAAGGAATCTGTTTAACCACTTGCTGCCGAGGATTTTGGTTTTGGACACGTATTCTTTATATGCGTGGCCAGGGTCTCCGAAATCGGACAAAGGAACTGGGCCTTCTAACAAAAAACCATACTCATAACAGAAGACCAGGCTGCTGGGAATTACCAACATTTTTTCACTCTCAATAGTGGAGATGATCCAGCCTTGGTTTGAAACAGTATACCACGGTTTGGGGCATTTAGAGCAAGCGGATTACCACCAAGGACAAAAGTGCTCCACCACCGCAGCGATGAGCCACTCAGTACCGCTGCACTCTAATCTGGTCCCTATTAAAAAGAGGTCAGCAGCGCACTGAGCCAGTTTCATGAGCAAAAGAAAATTACATAACACCGCACAATCTGGGCTCTTTTTACAAGGTGGCAGGCCTGACTGAAAAACTTCAGCGTCAATAGATGTTGTCAGTCAAATTAGAGTAGAACCAGACAGTCCTTCGTGTGGGTGTAAGTGTCCAGTAAATGAAAATATGAAGTTTTAAAGAATTTTGAAAACAGAAAAAAAAAGAAAAGTATCCCGTCCCAGCATCATCAATATTCATACATGTAAATGCCCCCTGCGCGAAGTGGTTAAACCTGCTTACATTCTTTAGGAGTTTTTTACACAGAAAGATGAAACTAATTTATTTCATCTTTAATATACTTTGAACTCTTTTCTTTCATAAATTTATTCAGTTCAGTCACATGAATTTTAGAATTGTTAGGGTCACAGGAAACGAGTGGCTTTCCTGACCCACTATCAGATGTCAAAGTACACTGATATTCAAGGTTTAATAAAAGTACACACCTTGCAGTTGGTACTTGGTATTAATTCGTTTAATGGAAGGAACCACTGAAAAAAGGGAGGTAGAATCCCTCTATTGCTGGTTACATGTATATATCTCACCATATTGTTGAACGTAATGCCTTGTTTGCCGATGAGACTGACTGTGTTGACTAAAGGGGTCTGCGAACAAGATGAAGTACAGAAAATGAAGAACCAAAAGAAAGCAAGTTAGACTGGCATTTAAAAAATGACCAACTTCTACACGTAGTAGGTTTTGGATAATGAGCTGGGCCAAAGAAGAGAATGAGGGAATATGCCCCTTGCCCCCCTCCTACTGGGCATCTGCTGCTCGATGGACACCTAATTTCTAAAAGTGTTGGCACTTATCCTCCACTGAAAGGTACATGTACATCCACAGACAAGTTTTCCTTATTACTTCAACATTCTTTGCATCAATTAAGCTTAAAGCAGTCTAGTAACTCCAACACTGAAATGATATCTACTACTCTACCATACCAGTGGTTCCTACAGAAACATATTCAACACTGATAAGAAAGCAAACTTAAACTGTAACACCCTCACCATTCCGTTCATGGTTACATCCTGGTCATCTGTCAAGATGAAGACAATGTTTGGTCGCTTGCCATTGCCGTACACTGTGATCACTAAGGACATCACTACGCAAATCCTCCAAAGATGGTCCATTCTTGATTGAGTCTTCAGAGATTACTGTCTGAAAAATACTGCAACATAAGAATAGCTTGTTAATATTCAAAGTGCAAAATTGTATCATAAGAACTGAATGACAGGAGAACTAAGAAACAAAAGATGTCAAAAGAAGTCTAAAAAGAGTGACAAACAAGCACCCTAAGACAAAATGAGGAAAAAATGTCAAATTGCCCTAAATCTTGGTAAAACACAAACACCCAAGTATGGTGTCGCAACTATTGTTATACTTGCAAACTATTGCAAACTGACTGTGTGTAAGAGCAGTTTTCCAATTCTGGAAGCAATTTAGTAGTTTTATTTATATCAAATTAATAACTTTTTCAAGGAGTAATCAAAATGCCACCCTACTTTTTGTTGTGGACTAAAGTTTGAAGTGACATATTCAAATGGTCAAATCTTCACCCTGTTACTTTTGTTCCGTCCAGAAGCACTGAACTACACATTTCACAGCAAACAGTTTGATCACATTTAAATTACATGCACAGATTACTAGAGCTGCCACTTAAATCCTACAACCCTACAACCTTACACTGCCGTTTTGCATGAGAACTGGTGCCAAAGTGCTCAGTATGGAATAATGTCTATGATTTTAGAATACATGTACATGTATTACCATCTGATTGGCTGACGGCACATTAACAAAAGCTTACTGGATGGGCATTTGCTTTAATTTTCCACACTATTGCTGACGACCAGACACAAATTATTTTGGACACTTTTCTGACACTGCTTGGCAAATGACACTAACACATCATTTCTGACCATGCCCAAACTTCTATCAGTGTGTTTGATTACTTTCCTTGTGTTTAACCATGCTTATGTCCTGTGCATAGATGCGCATGACAATTATTCACCAACAGAGAGCAATCTAAAATTAGCACACCAGATATCTTATCTGTTTGTGTTGTCTGGTGACGTCAACTAAACCACATTTTGCTGTCCCATATCAAAGCAACTACATGGTATGGATGTCTTGCTTAATACACATCAGTGTAAAACTCATTATGACCTCTAAATTTTCACTTGTTATTCTTTAAATTGATTCCATCTGATTCAAGCATGACTGAGTTGGCAGAGAATGAATAACTCTTAAGCGTGTATGAGTCATTTATGAGTATGTGAAGCACGATTGCTAAGCATGTTTACAAAAGCGAAACTAAGGAATGGCCAACAGGATAGCGAAACATAATCTACATCAGTCGTTTGCAGGCAAAGCCTCTATGATATAGAGGAACATCAAACACAGACAATCAACTCACTGTCCGATCATTTTCTGAACTTTTGCCAGTTCATGACTGGTTTTATGACTCTTTGCCTCATTACACTTCTAATTATAAAACAGGTTAATGGCAAGGAGCCTGCTATCAAAACACAGGGCCAACAACTTACAGAGAACGCACACAAATAAACACCCGACAAGGAAATGCACGGTGCCACCTGACATACATGTACTACATTTACACTTGATCACCAGATCACTCTGGAAGTTTCGTTTATTACTCGATAAGCTGTGGCAAAGTGACTTATGCAGCACATGCCAACCTGTTCCCATCTAGCGTTAATGACCATTCATCCGCTGATATTGCTTCGTCCCACATTTACGGCACAGGCCTCTAAGATGCATGTGATTGGCCAGCCGGGCACACCCAGCATTACTGTGAACTTGGTCTGTGTGTTGCCAACCTTTAATCTGCGCAGGAATAAGTTCACAAAACCTGTTCCCCATGTACAAAGCATTACCACTTATGTCTATAAAATGTAATACATAAAGGAGTTATGCCATCAAGCCATAGTAACCAGACCCAGTCAAGAGGTCATGTGATGATTAAAGCTATAAATAAAATGGAGTTGTCTATAGCGCTGGACGTCTAAAACACACAAACTTTTGTAAACCTTTTTGCACAGGGCTCACTGAAGCAAATGTTCTACATTATTTACATTGGTGTCAACTTTCCTCCACAGCATTAGGGAAAAATCCAAGCGATAATCTCCTACATTCATGGTTGGGGCAACACATCCAAACATCATGTAGTGCGATATTAACCATAAGTAAGATTTACAGATGCAACTCACTTCCCGGCATCCAGGCTAAATACAACCTAAAAAAAAATCCGGGGGAGGGGGGCTAATGCTGGCATAATGTAGCAGTGTAATTGTACCACATACATATATTGTCTAGTTGTGCACTCCATACTTATGTGTAGTCACGTGCATTATGGGAAAAGCAATACCAAGGTTGGCAAGATGGCTCCTGTGAACTGATCACACGTTTCTGATTAAACCTAATCGTCTGTGTTTGTATTTGTTTATAATCTGCATTGTCACCTGTGTCCAGTCAATACCATCAGAACCTGTTCGTAACGTTTATCCCACTATAAAGAGAGTAGGATGTTGCATGTACATGTAATTCAACTGATTGATGCTACCTTTTTACATTAAAACAGTGAGTGACAATCCTTGAATTGAAACTGTCTTCAACTGGCAAACTTTGTTAAGAATTTCACATTTCTAGTAACATCATCCGCAACCCACAACGTCACTGGGCCTTTACAACAAAAATTCCCAAGGATGGTTAACTAGTCTATAGTCACTGGTCAGGCACATTATTACATATATGTGGCCCAGCTCTCCGCCCCTACGTCGCGCGTTAGGCATAATGGTGACCATGCATGTACCATCGAGGAAGTGACCGAACTCCAACCCCGGAGCTTTCAAAAAAGCAAAAAAGTGACCAAAAAAGCCCAGGGCAGTTTGACTGGGATCACTAAAAATGTGGGTGCATTACATGAAAGGCCTCTAAATGGTTAGGCATGTTAGGTACCTGGTGACGCAGCCCCCAAACCCCAGAGGAAAGAGCTGTCTCTTTTTTACCCGTTCGTGGTTTTCAGCACGATTCGATGACCAGCATGCCGTGAGCACAATCATGGAACAACGACCTTGCACACACACACAACGCGTACGGTATAGGTACCTGGTGATGGCCAAGCCGCCGACAGGTCTGCGTTCGTTTGCAACTCGTACGCATTCACTTACATCATGCACCACAACGCAGCCTTCATCGCACGTAGCGCAATGTACACGTCGGATACTGCATACATTCCGCTATGTCATGCCACGAGATGCACGCATCACAGTCATGTGCCTTGTGCATATCACACATATCAGGTGACCAAATCATGTGACTAGAGTACGCTGCACTAGTGAACAACGCGATCGAACTGTCAGCAAAAAATAATTGCAGCTGGGGCTATGAAAAAGTTAAAGGTGGGGTAACGGTTTGGTGTGGGATCGGTTGATGAAGCTGTACTCGCGTGGTCCACTCTCCTCTGGAAATGAATTAGGAACTTGCAAAAAGTGCTCAACTTGACCACGCACTGTGTGTAAGTGTATGTTACAAAACGCATTTATTTATGAAGCTTCAGTAAACAAGATATCAAGATACAAGCGTTCGTATAAACTGAAAAACGTTTTCAACATCAAAATTTGGCTACATTAGAAATCATTATTACACCAATCCACTCTCATGAACTCCTAGTTTAGTTCCCGGTGGACTGTTTGAAGTCCTACAGGAGTTTGAACTACAAAGCACATTAATTTTCTTCTAAAGCAATGTTTTTCATTTTGTTGAAACTTCTGAAGCAGGATATGCTACACCCCAAGCAAAACATAAAGAAGAAATACTGAGGACCTCAGCATTTAGCAGGAGATACAAAGCCAGCAAATTAGGGGCCAACCCACCTGCCCCAGCCCTAGCCCAGGTGGCCGACTCCCTGACCATACAGTGGTAATGAAATGAAGACTGGCATCCAGCCTGGGCTACCCCAGCCCCATCCCCACCCTGTTTAATGTTGCAAGTACATGTACAAGCTTAGGTCAACATTTTTTTATCAGTTGGATTATTGAACCTGCGGAGTCGGAATGGTGCAATTTAAAAAAAAAATAATAAAGATGAAAAAAAATAATTGACATTAATTTATTCCTACTGGTTTTTTTTAGTATTATGAAAAGAAAATGGACTAATAAAATTTTTTTCTCCTCGGACCCTAGATAATTTAATTGGGGGGAATGGAATTTAAGATCTTCATTTACATGTATTCTTTTCTGTCCTCTGACCCTGCAAAATTTCATACTATTCTCACGGTCGGACATCTGGGAATTTTTGTACAATATTAAATAGCACAAAGGGTAAATGTGTCCCTTTGCCACTTGTTAAAAGTCCATGGTGACGTCATGCCGACCGCGAGAAACTCTGTTATCTCATAAATAAAAAAATACTGGTCTTAGCAACACCACGTACATGTACTTCATGCAAGGTTTCAAAGGGCCCTCAATGAATTCCTGACGTGAAATGCAGTTAGATTCAGGTGAGTCTTTGATACCAGTCAATTATCTCTGCCTCGTGTAGCAGTTTCACCAGGCTGATTTCTTTTGACAAATCATGAACAGACGTGGAGATGTTGTGGGCACGATACTCATTGTCAAAGTAATAGAGAGAGTACTTGGGTTGGTAACCCATGCCATAGACTTGCACACTGTCACAGCCAGCATGTAGGGCAGTGAATAACATCAGGGAACCAGTACTTGGGCGGAAGTAAGGTGATATCTGTGGCAGTCCCATCCAACTGAAATTACAAATGAGAATAAAATTTATTAAGAAATTAGTAATACAAGAGATGTATTCAAAAATGGACAAATAAACAGTGAACATTACAGCTCTACAAGCAACCACCCAGAAAAAATTTAAAGAAAGAACTTTAAGATTTAACAAAATCGAGATTAAGAATGAGATTATACTGTGATAAATCCACAGGATTACTCCTTGGGTCTTGCCTTTGCCAATTTTGATGAAGATTGACTTCTTTTGTTGGCCCTTACCTTTTCAGACACTATTAGAGTTTGCACATTAGGGATCCAATATCTCATTGTGAGTTTAATTTTCCCATGGGTGCAGCAAGTCAGTGAAAACTCCCCATTGGTGAATGAAGAAACTTCCCGATAGCGGACAGGAGGAATGATCCGAGATTAATTTTCAGTACAACACCATCACTTACATCCTCTGCACGTATCTGATGAAGTCAGGGTGTAAGATGCGTACATCCGCTGCCCTGGCGTGTAGCTTGGGTTCCAAGCCGCGCACAACACGCTTGATGTACAGGTAATCATCACGTTCACAGGGGACGAACACATACTTTATGCCCTGTTGAAAAGAATGGAATGAATGACTTGAGGCACTAGCAGTGGAAGTGGAGGGGGCAGGGGGGTCCCTCCACTTTTTCGACTTAGGGGTAAAGGCCCCCCCCCCGACTTTTGACAAATCCTTCAACGGCTGATGAATGATGGTCTCACTGATAGCTCCTCCCACTCTGAAAATCCTTCCACCCTCATTGAAGTGAGGTTCAAATTATGCTCGCTTCCGGAACAGTGGGAGAGACAAGTTTCCCTCCCAAGACATGTTGCCTTTTTTTTGAGAATTGGAACTGGTCTTTTTCAGAAAACATTCACATTTTGCATCCCCCTCCACCGAACTGATTAACCTGGATACGCCACTGTCCTGTGTTTCAGTGCTCTGACATTGTCATTTACAGGGTTGGCAGGGACAAAAGTACAGAATTGAGTAGCACCCACAGTTTCCCAAAATGATTAAAGTGAAGTTTTGATACTAAAAGTGCTTACACTATGCACTGATTTTGTCCACCAATTAGAATTAAATATAGTTTTCAAAATGTGATTATTGCTGTCTTAATTATTTTTTAGTAAGGAACAGGGTACTAGCTCTAGAAAGGTCATAAGTTAGGTAATGCTTGGGGATTAAAATTCATTTAATTGATTTTTGGGATGCCAGATATATGTACCACTTCATTATCAGCACTCAGAGAGTGAACCTACCTTGTCTCGTGGTACATCTCTCTTCTCTAAGTCTCTCAGTGATCTGTCAAAGAAGAAGTAATGGGTTGTACGATTGCCAACGTCTGTCTCGTGGCCCCGTCGAAGAGCGTTGTTCACCCTTTAGAGTCAACAAACAAAAATCAACATAATCTCGTGAGAGATTTCTTACGTTACTCTAAAAAAATCCAATGCTTCCACATCTCTTTAAAGTTGAGATTTGCAATGCCATATAAATTTTCTCAGGCATTCATCAGACCATGTACACATTTTTAAAGTTATATGGTGATTTCTTTCAAAATCTGTTGTTTGATATCTTGAAATGTACTGCTGCAAACTTGCTAAGTACAGTGACCCGTAGTATACATATCAAAAAAGTTAGAGGGCCAGATCTTTCGATGGCAGCAAGATCATTCTCAAAGACAATTGCCTTCCTTTTACCTTTGAGAAAGATTTTGTTGGAATTGTAACATTGGCTGAACTGTTTTCATGGAGAATTCTGATCAACACAACCTATCAAATTAAATCACACAGCCATATTGCCTTTGAGTTGATAGATTCCTGGGGAAGGATCAGAAAAAAGTGTCTTGAAGTTTAAGCAAACTTTCAACAATGCAGGCTCGACCTGAAGTTTCAGTAGAATCCAGTCTTGTACAAAAACCCCTATCCCCAATTTTAAGCTAACCATGTGAACACTTTTTTCCCAAATACAAGTCTGATCCTACCTGAATACCATGTGATGGTCATCAATTTCCATGCCTCTAGATGAGCCTTTGAGAATCCCTCCATTGCCAACCACTGCGCACCTGAGGCAAGTAGGACGTCTTTGCCCATGGAATTCAAAAATAGACTCAGCCGCTGGGAACAGACTCAATATACGAGCCACATCTATGTTGGGAATGTTCAGGGAATGGGATAAAGTGAGTGTTGGATAAGTGTTGATTGCCTTCCAAGCCCAAAAGATCTGCCACTATGATTGCATCATCATTCATGACTCCTTCAGTCAAGATATCTGGAACCTTAAACCTGAGACACTTCCAATAAAATGCTATTCAAGAAGTAATAAGTTTCAAAGAACTTGACTTGTTTTGCAAGAAAGGTTTTGAAGTAATTCAACCCAAAGTTTTGAAATTGGTGTTCTTTACTTTTCATATTTAGTTTGGATAAGTGTAATGTTGAAAAAATCTGTTGTACTCTTTTTAGTCACAGAAATCAAATGATCAGTCAAAAAATAAGAATGTTCTATTTTAATAGCTATCACTGCAGCTAATAGGATAAATTGTTCATTACAAGCCAAGAAATAATGAAACAAACACAAATTTAAAATATATGTCCACAAACAGAAAAAACAACCATCTTAAAATTAACAGAGGAAAGTAGACGCAAAACATACCAGGAATGCAGAATATGTTTTGCATATACTCTTTGTTGTGAAAGTAGCAACAAAAAGAACCAAATTGTGCCCCACACTCACCGTCATAAGGGAAAGGGGATGGAAGGCTCTTATAACCATAAGGAATCAGATATGGGAGTAGTCGCTCGTATTCTGATCGGTCTAGGAGCTGTTCGTTCATCAGTATATGTATCTCTGGGTGATATATATCTGATGTCCAATCGGTGTCCTTCATTTTGATCTGGAGGGACACTGGGCATGTCTGCAAGAGGATGAATTCAGTCTTTGAATTATTTCACTTGAATTATCTCACTTAAATTAGGATCAGCGCCACTATGCAAATTGTCTGTGCCAAAACTGTGACAGTCTGATATTTTTTGTAATCACATCTGTAGCTAAAACCGTAAGGAAGAAATACTTTAAAATTGGCTTTTGATTGAAATAGCCTTAGCACTTATTCTACAACTGAAATAAACAACATGAAGGGAATTTGGAGGTACCTCGCTCACAATTTTTAGAAATCTTTACTTCAGTTATAAATTTCAAAATAAACAATGCACTATTGGAGAACATAATACGACTAATCAAGTCTGTGTGTACTCTGTACAAGTGATTACACAGTACGGGTTTCTTTAAACGTGTTTATATTTTGAAATCAAACTTTCAGATTAATCTAAAACTACAGTATTGTTGACATACTGATTTTCTGAAGGCTGGATTTATCCTGAAGGTGTGCTCTTGACGTAACTGTATATCTTTGGGGTCCTCATGGGGAAGGAGTAAAGTCAGATATTTCCAGTCTTGATACTTGGCCCTAGAGGTGGTATTTGGGGATTTTATGGATGGCTGATTGGAAAGCTCGACAAGATAACGACTTGAAAAGAAACCAAAAAACAAACAGAATGACACAGCACATGAAAAGATCACGGCAAAGTAGTTGAAAGCAACTGTCAATATTCAATAATGAGATATTATGCCCATTTGTCATGACTTCCCTTCAAATACTGGAACACAATATCCTATCTATACGTTTATCTGAATATGTTACTAACTATATGAATGTAATTCAACATTGAGACAGACTTTAAGGTTTTCATGTGTTATGATAAAAGCTGTTTCCATTGCTGATAATAAGGGTGTATGACGTGGGTGGATGGAGAACAACACAGATATTTTTGCTAAAACCACAGTCTCAAGTTTTTTTCATGTGCGGCAGAATCCTCCTTCCAAAAAAAAACGGGAGATGATAGTGTATTTTCAAAATGCTGGTGCCTTCACATTTAAAATATAGATCACCAGTATCTCAGCAAGGTAAATTAATTATACGATTAACATGAATGAGTCAATGGTTAATTTCATCAAAGGGACAAAACTGAGGATCGAACCTGTTTGAAGACACAGAATCTGCCGTCAAAGATAGGCGTGACATTCTATTGAATAAAAAACACATGCAACCAAATCAATCACATGGGTTTCACATTAAAAGCATGTACTCAGAGGAAGCGGTCAACGGTGAGTGATGGCTTTACGTTTGATGCGAGGGGAGGGCAAAAATAGTATGAGATTGCAGGCTCTGTGTTGATGTGAGCACCACATACAGTTCATTGAAAATCCTAATCAATATCACTGAATGATGGCATCTCTTTAAATGGAAATTACTGACTTACATGGTTGGAATCCGTTGGCATAGATAAAGAACCCCAAGTACTGCTACAACACCGAACACGCACACTTGTGCTGCACATTTTTGTGTTGCCATGGTGACCAAAACCAGGATGTCTTCTTGTGCTGTAAGTATAGGCTGTTCGCTTACACACGCTTTTCGTCCGACGGCTCGTCTCCCTTCTTTTAACCTAGCTCTGTGGTACAGGTGAATTCCGAAATCTAAACTCTCAAGAAAGAGAAGAGACTCAGATTTAAAAGAAACGGTGACGCATATACTCATGCCCAGCAACCACAGAAAAGTATGAAACAAACGCACACCAGCTACATGCCGCTTTCAATGCCCAGTCAATGTGACCGTGCAGAGTATGCCTATACCGGCTCGTACGTCGTGTTGCACAATATTTATTGGCCACGCCCAAAGAATTCGATATTTTTCCCATGTGAAGTAAAACACGTGGAACACATGCTTTTTATGAGATACAAGCAAGAACAGGATTGCAATGGCTTAAACGTTACAGGAATACACGTGGACGAAATGGGGGCCTTCCAAGAGTTCAAATTTAAAGCGAGGAATGAGTAGTAACAATCCGACCGATTACCGGACCAGCCCAAACCACCAGCTTTGCCCCATATTACTCCATTCAGACGCACCCACGGGAGGAATGGTAAAACATGCAGATAAAAGCAAAAACATTTCGGCGGACGCACCTTACCGTATGTCACAAAACCTGGAAGTTACGATCACTTTCGGAGAGACAAGCCTGAAACAGCACTTCGTTTGTAGAGTCAGGTCGACACTGTGGCACGTAGTACATTGCTGCTTATTTAAACTATTACAGTGCTAGTATAAACCTTGTTTTGATTGATGAGGGGATCAAAGTCCTCCTTTATACGTTTCATGTTTTTTTATATCGGTGACTGTTGGTATGTCGTGCCAAGTGAAATGTTTCACTTTGCCAACCTTGTTTGTTAATTAACTCGAAAAAAAAACAGCCATCAACCCACGAAAGAATTTAAATGTTTTTGTTTCCTGATATATCCTTTATGCGTATTTTATGCTTATTCCTTTGGTGTTATTTTTGTTCTGTTCGCTTACTTCTGTTCAGCTTACTTATCTTGCTGAGATAATATAAGCTAAAAAAGGCGTTCCAATGATTTCCTTTGTGGTGGACTTATTTGATGCAGAATAGTTTTAAATCAGCGCAGTAATCTAATTGAAAGTAAGTCAAGAATGACTGAATATCTGTGCAAGCCACACCCAATCATTATCGCCATTGCATATGTACATATAATTTGTCAGAAGAGTTTCAATTTTAATTCATTAAGTTAGGCAGAAATTCTAGCATTTTGGGGGGGTTGATCTTTAAGTTTAAAGTATTTGTGCCTATTTGCAGAAGAGGTAAAAAAAAATTATTTACTGGCGTGTGAAAAAAGGAAAACAAAAAATAAAGAACAAAATACATGCAGTTAATGTTTGGACAAAGCTTTTTGGGGAATTCAACAGAAACCTGAGTTTATTTGCATTGAAAAATGCTAATGTCCATTTCTGTACCTCAAACAGTTGTAGCAATTGTGTGTGCTCTACTTTGGCATTAATAAGAGAGGATTAATAACTAAATAAAGTTTTAAAAATACAGCAAATCGTATGCAATATAATCAACTAATTAATGGCATGAAAATGTTTTATTACGTTTTATTATTTTTTTATTGTATTTTTTTATTATGTTTTATTTACCTAGTTTACCTGAGTAAGGAGACTGGCAACACAAAAATAACAATTCAAATATGAGTTTTGTGATTTGACGCGCAAAGTTGGTAATCACATCACTATTAAAATAATAAGTAACATATGATAACTGATGTCTTTTTTGTACAACTTCCTCAACTAACTGGGCAATCACATGCAAACTGTGCTGTTGAGTCATCACATGATTAAATATTCAATAAGAAAAATGTACATGTATATACACTATGATGGTTCTCTGCGACCATCACATTATACAAACAATCAGTTGAGATGATCCAGTAAAAAATATAAATACTTATTCAGTTTTACAATAATTTCACAGCCCATTAAAAAAATATACTTTTCCAAGTGTACATGTACATGTGATTTGGCAGGACTGAAGTATCGTACAAATTTGAAACTATTCAAATCTGATAAATCTAAATAGAATTTATTCACTACATTTTACTCAAATTAGGACTGTTATCTCACTGTCATTCACAACTATAGCCTGTTATCACTCCTTCACTTGGAGGTGAAATTTCATTGAAAAAATACCAATTCAAAAGTATAAAGTACACACACTAATTACCAAGGTTTTTTCTGTTGTATGAACATACTAATTAGCAGTAAACAAAATCAAATCTGATCTGCTGTGAAATTATCCAACCAATTGCGCCCTGTGTATCACTGTATTACACCAAGGGTTTGTTACATACATGCACATTTTCCAAACATTGGCAACATCTGTAAATGATTAACATGCAATCCCAGGAGTTACCCTGGCCTTACTCACTCTGGTAAAATCAAACTGAATTACTATGCCAACACCTCCGGTACACCCAAAAAACCCCCACACAAACAAACAAACAACCCAACAAACAAACAAACAATTAAAAAACAGTAGAACTTATTTGATCTTTAGTTTTGCAATTTTTTTGTCTTTGCTATTAAAACAAAACCCTGAAGCTAAACTGGGTATTGAGATGCATTCCCACTCAGAAACCTTTTTCCTTTATTTTGTCAATACATGAAGTGACATTTCATCTAAAAACATAAAGATTATCCACCTTGGCCAAGATTACTGTCGACCAAATTAATTCAGTATCAAAAATTGGAGTTACTGTGCTTTGGTGTAATTGAAAAATACTTTTTACAAGTGACTGTTTGATGTTTTCCATGCCTATACCCTATGCAGACAACAAAAGAATTACCAAAAAAGAGAAGTGACAGCTAAAACATTGCAATTTCAATGTGCAACAGAAAAAAGGATCCTCGCAGGCACACTTTATAAAAAACTGAAAAGCTATGCACCCCTTTTAGCTTCATTTTTCCCATCCTTTCTTGCTTTTTTTTCTTCCAGACGGTACCAAAATTTTCTTTCATCAGAAAATGTTGCGCTTAAATACATGTACCTGTATGAACATTAACTTACATTCTTCACTAAGCATTTAGTAAATTCCCCGGCCTGCCTATCACCAAGTTCAATGAGTAAATTCTGCATTTGATGCTAGTACTGATTGTATGCATTCTCATAAATCACTGATCCATTGACATGCCACTGGTAGCAGAAACCTTGCTCCAATTTGATCATAAGCATTAAGCCCACAGCTCAGCGCATTTTTTGCCAGACTTACTCATATTTATCATCCTTGTGCACACAATATAATTGTCCCAAAGGCAATTCCATGCCAAAATGGAAATGCATAGATCTATAGAGAATGAGAAGAGCCGTTGTGAAGGTAGTCAGAACACAAATCTTAGCAATGTGTTTCACCATGACTTTACAACAGTGACTGAGGAGGTTGCAATGAACTACAATTGGAGTATAGTAAGATACTGTAAAGTGATGTCAGGCTAACCATAAGTAAGGGCTTACATATTAGAAACAGGATGTAGTCAAAGTGAGAAAACTTAAGAAAAGAAAAGGCTATTAAAATCACGCATCTTGGTTTGATTCTAAGAATGATGACAATGGCTGAGTCACATCTTAGAGTAGTGATCCTGTCAACTTCTAAAGCAATGAGAAACTTTCATAAGTAAATAACAGTGTAACTTGGATACGCATGTGGGTTTAGCAAGGTCACATGCCCTGTTTGCAGAAACATTGTACACACTGTGTACAGTACAGCCGAGTGGTTTGCCGGCTGTAACTTTGATGACGATTGCGTATCGCAAAGTAACCCAAATTGTGCCTTGAAAAGAGTATGAACTATTTTATAAAAGGCTACAAGTGAATATCCCTAGGGATTTTGCAATTTCAACACAATAGTAAAACACCATGGGCAAGTCAATAGTTTAGTTGAAAACTGATAATGCCAGTCATGATGCCGCTTATATATAATGCCTTGTAACACTCTTCTACATTAACATTTCGAACGCAACATAAAACAACATTAATTTCCCTGTAAATTTTAATTTCACAAATTCTGTTAACTTCATATATGCATACATGTACATAAACTTTTTGATTTGGTTTTGGCTTTGAGGCGCAACCTATTAGTGCACTACTGAATTTGGCTTTCTTAGAGGTGTTAATGGCTTTACATTGCCAGACATGGAGCTGAAGTCCTGTTCAATTCTTTTGTCAGCCATTCATATTTATGTACAGATCATGTCAACCTGCTCAAAGTACTGATCCTAAATGAGCTGGAGGGCAGACGTCATACCCTTCAATATTTTCTTCCTTTGTTGTTACACTGCATTTTTTCTCTTCTTTTTTATGCCAAGCTTTCGCATAATTTTCCTATCGTTTTGACGATTCAAACCGTAAAATGGCTTGAATTCATACTTCACAGATGTCAAGTTTTAAAAGGACTGGCCACAAGATAGTTAAGATCAGAAGGGGTGTGAATTCCCCTCTCCCAACCCCAACCTCACCTGTAAGATCCCCCCCAAGTAGTAACAGCGCTAGTATTACTAAAACTTTGTTTAATTTTATAAACTACAGACAATTTTTTTTTAAACTCTGAACATTGTTTTACCCTGTTTCACATGTTGTTCATTTTAATAAAAAGAATACCTTCAAGTACTCAAGAAATCCAATATGCCACGCTGGTACCACCATATGGAGCCTATTCTAGTCAAACCTGTCAGGCTCTTCAACTCACTTTTGGTGTCGTGGCTGTTCCTGGCCATCTGGGAGAAGTTGAACTCTCTGTCATAGTAATACAAGGTGAAGTTGTCGTTGTACTGAGCCCATGCCATACTGTACACCCTCACCCGGTCACAGCCAGAGAATAGTACCCTGAACAGCATTATGATCCCTGTGGTTGATTGGAATGCCCGAGGCATTTCTTACCCAGCTACAAAATGTCAACAATAAATAAACAAAACTATTAAAAAGGAATAGTGTTCACAAACACAAATAAACCCCACTGTGACTGCATTCCTATGATGTAATTAACACCAACATCAAGGTGTGGCTGGGCCACACAGAACTTCAGGTTACATTGCTACTGTTTTGTTTAAGTAATGTTATATTGAGGTGCACATGTGCGACCCAGAATAAGTGATTTTCAGCATTTCCAATGGGAAGTTGTTATAAATGAAGATAAATGGATCCCACAAAGAAACATCAACATCTGTGCAACAAAGGTATTTTCCTGGTACACGATGACAGCACTCAGTCATTTTTCAAAGAGTTTTTGGATGTGTATGATTGAAGTTAAAACTCCTTGTGGACTTTTTTTCTCTCTTTCACTGGGATACATGCAACATCTGCAGTGTACCGAAGTACCCACAATGAAGTTGTAAAATGGTATGTTCAACACTGTAATGTTGCTGGTGCTCTATGCTGTTAATTAAACAGACCTGTGGTACCAAACTCACATTTTATTGATGTATCTGATGAAATCTGGATGGAATATTTGCACATCGTCAGCTCTGACACTGATCTTTGGTTCTTTGTTATGAACGTGACCTTGCCGATGTATTGGTAGTCGTTGTCTCGGCATGAAGGAATAAATACATACACCCTACCCTGGAAAAAGCAGAAATCAGAAGCTGGTCAGTGACACAGCAGTATGTAGAGACAGCATTTACCAGCATACGCACGACTGAAAATGGCCAACTCCCAACTGGAAACAAGAGGTTCTTCAGAGAGCATATAGTAGCATCATTATGACCACATGTCAGTCTCAAGCCACTATTTCAGTTTAGTTCAGAATAGTCTGTACAATCAGTTAACATGTCAGGTCTCAGGTGAGTACAAGGGGTTAACACCGGAAAGCCTGAAGTTGTTCACTTGAATGGCTTATGACTTCAAAATAGATGAGCTGTTACTGGCATCAGATTAACCTGTAATGATTTATAATAGAAGCAAGGATCTGTATCTCTTGGCATCTCAACACCAGTACACTTGGCAATCTGTGGCGGTTCCCAATGAAAACAATTACGTCTCTGCGTTAAATACCTTGACTCTAATGAAAGCATACAGCTATGCAGCTATCCCAGACATGATAAGACTCACACGTGTACCTGATCATTTGGGACATCACCCCGTGAAGTCTCCTGCAGAGAACGGTCAAAAAAGAAATAATGGGTCGTCCGTTTTCCAACATCCACTTCATGTCCTTGGCGTACTGCTTTGTTCACCCAGAAATCCAGGTAATTCAAATCATCAAGGAGACTGTGTGAGTATCAAACTTGACATGCATCAAACTATTCAGTGACTGATCCTTTCAGTGAAGAAATAATTTCTCAATTTGAAAAATAAGAGTGGAACAGAAATAGCTGGTGTCAAATAGAGAAAAAATGTTCACTAACAACCAAGGCTTTCAAAATACTGGGAAAACTTTATGATCAGATTACATATCAAATAATGGACTGTCAACTAGTTCTTGTGTGAGTCAGTCCAGCAGCTAAATTTTTCCATCATGCAACTAAAGACAAAGTTTCAAATATTAGCAACGTGGCCACAAACCAAACACCAATAACTGAACTTCCAAAAGATGGTAACCAGGGCTGTAGACAGAATGTCGCAACCAGCTTTCCAAATTGGTTCTTTAAGCACCTCTAATGTTAAAAAGCCACTTAGGGACATGCAGTCTTCCTTCCATGTAGAATCCATTGTGTCTATTTATTGCCAGAGCCCAATGTTGTTACAACTTTCTCTTGATCTAGGGGAAGGCCTGACACATGGTACAGGTCCACTGACAATGTACTCAAACTGGCGCATGTGATCATCATCAATCTCCGCCCCTTTTCTTGAGCCATTCAGAATGCCACTAGACCACAGCACATGTTAGACACTGCGGCCGTTGCCTGTTTCCAAAATTAAAGATTGACTCCCCGACAGGAAATAGCCACAGGGTGTTGATAATATCTGCAAAGAGAAACAGTGAACTGCACTCAGAGGTCAAAGTTCCATATAAATAATGATTTTTAATCTCCAATTCGCTAATGTTTTCAGAGACAATCTGAGCAATAATATCTGAGAAAAAACAATACATACTCAAGTTTGCAACTCTTACAACTTTTACAGTGAGACAGTAGAAGGAATATTCATATACATTTAAATAACATATATCGGCATCATTAAATTATTGATCAAAATCTCTTTGCAGTGTTGCTCTGAGCAAATGATTAAATCCTACAGAATCAAACATCCACAAAAGCTAGTCAATTCCAAACAGAAGCAATCAGTTGTTGGAATCTATCCTTCACAGATCAATAGGACCCAACAACTCAACAATGTGCAATTCTGTACTGAATGCGTCACAGGTGGCAGACTGCCAACAAGCCATTTGCAAGTTAAATTTGAATAAAATCCAGTACACTGAGTTATCTGATTGCACATAAACATAACAATGTGAATTCCCCACACTAAAGACACTGTTACTATACCTCGTGATTCGGGGCAAGCTTTCGCATAGCGACCACCATCTCTGGAATGAACTGGTTCTTTGGGTCCTTCTTATCCATTGAGAAAAGTGTATTGTTGCAAGGCGTCTCTTATGTAACTAAGCACAGGCGCACCCCAAATCACAAGGTATAGCAACAATTTTGATTTTGGTATGGAGAAGTTTTCAAGTTTTTATGTTCAAGTAAATTTGAAGAACTCAGTGTACAAGATTTAGGTCAAAGTTAACTCGCAAAAGGCTTATTGCGTGACCTGACACTAACCTTTGTAACCGAATCTGGTTCTTGTGCGATAGCCAAATGGCATGAAGTATGGCCGGAGTCGATAGTACTCTGATTGGTTGAGCAGTTGAATGTTAATCAGCACATGAACTGAACATGACGGCCTATACATGCTGGATGCCCAGCTGTTATTGCGCATTGTGTGCTGGAGTGATGTAGCACATTTCTGCAGGGGGAAAAGACAAAACAGAAAAACACATAACTTTAGCAAAAGATTTTCAAATTATGTTCGCATATCCAACAGAATTGAATCAAAAACTGAGAAAAAATTACAGAATGAAAGTGAAAATTACAGGGAGAATGCTACGTGTACAATACAGCTGGGCTTGAAGAAGATTCAACCAATGAACACCTCATGTAGGCCTTTGTGTAGCTGTACACATTACACACCAACTGGTTGATGCTCTTTTGCATTAAAAGGTTTTTACTGGCTGATATCTTGCATCTTTTCTTGGATAATGAAAGGGATGACAGCTGACACAAGGAAGAAACTTTTTGGAGAAAAATTGTAAGGGAAGATGGGGTTAAAGGGAACGGCCCATCATTTAAGCGCGCATGTGAATGATTGTCAAAGTAATTATACATTGATGGTCAATAGGCACCTTTCTAATTAAAGTAAAGACAAACAAAAAATTTACTGAGGCTGTGAAAAGAGGATTTCTCCTGACTGTAATTCTACTTTCCTTCCTCCTTTAAAGTTGATGAAGAGGGTTTGAAAGGTCTTCCCCTGGGACTAGATGGAACAAATTCTCCAACCTCCAACTCCTAAATCAACGGATGAAATTCAGAAAGGTTTAAATACCAAAACAAAAAGAGGAATACAAAAAGTGTTTGACCAAAAATCAGGGAGAATTAATGACGTGTTGTGAAAGAGAGCTGTAGAGTGAAATTAAATTAAATGTTAAAGTCCGATGACTTTGATAATAGACAAGATCTAAAAGGATGTCAAGAAATTTGTTAGAGCAATGGTCTGAGTCCAAATGAAACTGCAGCTGCTGATGTAATGCGATGAACTGGCTTAGATCTGCTGTTGCATCAAGCATGAATCAACCCAACAAGTGTGTCATCAGCTTTTGTGGCGGAGGGATGGAAATCGAAAGCTTTGCTGTTCCTACACCCTTGGGAGTTTGGGTTAATTTTTAGGTGCTGACATTTTAACAGCTAAGCATTGCTTTTTTTCATACTTTTGTGGCACTTCTGACTGGCATACATGTACTATTATCCGACCATCTGCTAAAAAAATGAGAAAGTGCAAGGCCCCACTGCCTTCACTGAATTTGCCACTGCCAAAAATTCAACTCAAAGGATTTTATCAACTTTTGTATGAAGGAATAACCACAAGGGTGTCTTTTGGAATGTACTGCACTTTTGACCGTCTAGAATGGAATAAACACCCTATCTGGAATGAAACAAATGATTGGGGATCTACTGAACTCTATTTGACAGCCTCTTTTTTCAGTTCAAGGCACCATTGCACACCAAGTTCTTGACAGCTTCAATGTTTTTCCTCCACCAATGGATTGTCTGTAAGGTCTACTGATGTTAATGGAACTCCAACCATTTGGTAATAGAAATAATGTATATTTTTAAACAAAGACTATCAGTGCACACTGTAAAACATGTTAAGAGTGCTCACAAATACCAAAAATTGGGGAAAATGCAGAAAATGGAAAGGTATAACTTTGTATTCAGAAAGGAGCAAACCAGGGATTTCAGTAGGTAAAAAGTACAACCCTAAAAAAGTTCAAGTACATGTATGAATATTAAGTGGAATCTGTCGCTTTTAGGTATGCCGAGTCATACCGGACAAAAGCACGCTGTTAGTTCAGTTAGATTTTTTTAATCTGCACAAATATCAGTTGCAACACTTTTCTGGTTCTGCAAAAATTAGTCATCTGATAAGAAACACCACACTTTGCCTTCATGGATTCAGAAGAGCTCTCAAAGAAAGGGTTACTGGGTTTTTATTAAAGTTGCAAGAGGAAAACTGCGAGTTAAGTGACAAGTTTGCAGTAGCATCATGCAGAATTATCTCTTTTGTAGGTGTGGTTCTGGAAAGAACCAGGGGGTATTTGACGTTTTGGAAAGTATGCTTTATCTGTTTCCTGATAACTGAGCATACTGTCTGAAATGCTGAGTTCCCTCTAGTTCTTTTTTTTTTCAGAGCCACATAAACATGTTATACAAGTTAATATGGTAGATTAGCTACCACTAATCTACCATATTAACTTGCCACCTTCACCATGGAAAATCTCGTCTGAGGAAAACTGCCATCTGCAAAAACCATCAATTTGAAGTTCCTTGAAGTAAATAAAATGCATTCATGGTTAGATAAATAAATACATGAAGCGTGAATAGACAAATGATATAATTTCTCCTGCCTTTGAAATCACTGGGAAAAGAGTTATTTACAAACATCCAGCCAATCTGCAACAAACAAGAGCCTAATTAGAAATAAAGAAATGAAACAAACCACTGCATCTTCTATTGATTTCTACCAAGTCCTTTTTTTGTTCAAGGGTCTCTAAACTCTACATTACATGCATGTGAGCCTCCACGCAACTGTAGCACAAATGTTCATTATTTAAATTTGGATCAACCATTGAGATATTGTGGGTGTGAAGCCTGAAGCTCAAGCAAACCGGTCTCCGGTTGACATTCCAACCTGTGTGTGGTTTTTCAGATGTTGACACCATAGGTGAAGTCAATGTACATGTATGTTCAATTTTAGCAATTATTATACAATGTTCGTGTAATGCATCACACCACAACAAAAGGTACAAAAAAGGTTTCAAAATTAGCAAAAACAAAGTAAACCTTAGTGGCAGAATGTTTACATAAAGTTATGTACATACAAACACAACAGTATACTAACATATCTTTCATTCTTGGACTGGTCTCTCCCAGACCCTAAACAACTGTTCAGGTACAATATACTGCAGAAGGAGAAAAGATATAGAAGCAAAACTTGTGCCTGCCGACGTTGACACCTGTTGAACGACGCAGGCTGGGGAGACGGCAGTCAATGCCTTCGAGGGCGTTCATTGTACGGCGTGCACCACCTACCGCCGAACTGGAAAGTGCTGCTGCCCAAGTTGTGTGAGGCCTGCCTGGGTAGGAAAAGATTTAGAAGATTGGAGGGTTGTTTAATGAACTGAAGGAAAGACCATCAAAGATATGAAATCAATGGCAATTCATTAACATGTGATTGAAGATTGAGGGCCTATTTTGGATAGAGGCGGGCGGCTACCTTGAGAGCTGAGCGCATAGTTTTACTACTATTTTGAGAGTATCTTCGGGTAAAGGAGAATAATTTTTTTTCCGCTGCTAACCCCCTTCACATTGAAACGAAAAGTGATCTTCTGGCCAGAATCTTGAATTACCAGTGATAAAACGGAGGCCAACCTCTTCCCGAGAGTCAACAGGCGCGCCGTATCGGTCTGATTTTGCGCTGTTTTCTGCGAGCGCGTATTTGGCGTAGTACTAGTGCAACCATAAACGCATAGACCACCAGGTCCTATTTAATTAAACAACCTAAATCTCCGGTCACCATGGTTTTTTTTTTTTACAATTTTGGAGGATCACCGTCACACTGGACTGTAAAATAGGGACTAATGGGAATATACCAGGCAAGATATGGGACGGAGGTGTACCCCCCCCTTACATGTCAGATCCCTATACACACTCACATCCCCCCTAGAAG